AGCAGGATACGCCCAGCCCAGGGGATACCTCCTGCACGAAGCCCGCGCCTTTACCTCTTAAGTGCTCCCCCATCGCTCTGTGTTATCATTCTGTTTCTGTCCCTCCACCCTACCCCACAGACTGTGGAATCCAGGAGGGCAAGACCCACACCTGACTTGTCTGTGTGTCCCCATCACGCCCAGCAACTGGCCTGGCACACAAAGCGCTCAGAATCGTTCGTGGAATGAACAAGTCTGTCCCTTCCCTGTGGTGTCATTCTCAGTGTCACTCTTTATAGCGACGGCTCTTTGGAGAGCAGCCTCCACGGTTAGAAACAAGCCACAGAGGGCCTGGGCCACGAAGGCTGGGAAAGAGAGTTTCCTGGGAAGGGGACTGACGATTTGGGGGCTACACAGCACCCCTTCCACTTCTGGTTTACAAAAAGCTCTGCCAGTGGAATCTTTCCTTGAATGAAATCTTTCACGAAATCTCAATGCGCAAAACAGATAAAAAGACAATTCTACGGGTTGGAGTCAGAGCAGGAAGCTTGGGTCTACGCCTAGAACCTCCTCAGAAACCCGAGGACTCCATGGTGACTGGAAAGTCACTGGTGTCTGGGTAAGAGCACAGTCCCAGGTTCAAGTACTGGCTCAGCTCCCTCCTACCTCCGTAGGGCAAGCATCCCACCCCCCCCCCAAGCCTCAGTTTACCTATCTGGGCAACGGGGGTGGCCATGCCCGTCAAATAAGGTACTTGTGAGCACTTGGCCTTGGCCGTAAGTGCCCGATGCATTGCTCGCACATACATATACATGGCACTGATCCCCATCTCTGGGGTCAGAGCCTTGGTCCTTCCTGGGTTCATTCATCCTCACCCCTACCTCCATCTCTATCCTACATGCTGCTGCCCTGAGTATCCCCCCCCCACCGCCCCCACCGGCCCATCTCCCCGCCCACGCCGCCCCTGCCCCCCACCCTGGGGGAGGCTGCCCAACTCTTACTCGGCTCCGGCTCCGTGTTGCTGCAGCAGCTGGTGCAGCATCTGGGACTGCTGGGTATGGTGGAGATCGGTGGGCACCAGCCCCTGCCCCATGGCAGCGTAGGGGGGCATCGGAGGCTCAGCCTTCATGTACAGATCCCGCTGCAGGACGGGGTAGTGAGGCGGGGGCGGCGGGGGCGGCGGTGGGGGGTGCTCCGGGCGTGAGGGCACCCCCACATGGCACAGGCTCTCAGGGGTTAGGGTGCGCAGGAGATGGGGGTCTGTGGGAGAGATGCGGGGTGGCCATTAAGTTTCCTGGCACCAGCTCTCCTCGGGCGGGGTCTCCTGATACCCGCCCCCTCCTGAACCCAGCCTGGGGGCTGCCCTCCCGCCGATCCCACGTGGGAGGATGCTGGGCAGTCTAGAGGCTGGCCACTACAGGCCCGGGCAGGGAGGCCAGACCCTGCCCAGGGGGTGGGCAGCCTTTCACCCCATCTGAGCCAGCTCCTTCCCCTGGGCTGGCAGGGCCTGGCCCGGCTCCCTGGGGAGGTCCCGCATCCCAAGGTTCTCCCCCAGCCCCTCTCAGGCCTGCTCCTCCTCTGAGCCTCAGGAAGGAGTCTCCCGGGACCCCCAGCGCCGTCCTGCGGGGGGGCCCTCCTCCCTCCAGCTGGCCCCAGGGGCCAGCCCCCCAGACTGAGGGGGCAGGCCCCAGCTCCCTTTGTTCCCCAGGAGGCATTCCAGAGATGTTTTTGGTAAGATAAACAGAACTCTTGACCCCTCTCTGGGCTGTGGGGAGAAGGCTGCCCGTGATCCCTCTGCTCTTGGCCACCTGGGGGCCACTGCACCCCTGAGCACCTCCCAAGGTGAGGTGGGCCCGGCGGCAGCCAGGCCTGTGTCCAGCCTGCACCCAGCCTCCCCCAGCCGTCCACTTACCGCCGAAGGGCGCGTCCATGATGGCGCAGGCGGGCAGGCGGGTGGCATCGCCGGCAGGGACACTTGCTCAGAGGCAGGGCCAGGCTCCCCACCCGCCCATGGGGAAACAATAGCCAGCGCCGGGGAGTATTTGACCAGCGATAATCTGGGCCTGTTGGGCGGCCGCTGGCCCCCTCCCTCCCTTGCGGGCTCCCTCCCTCCCGATAAGGCCGCCCCAGCCACTTGCCCAAACCCCAGAGGGGGAAGGCGGTGCCCGCTGGACTCACCATTCACCTGCTGGGGGGAGTAGGCCTCGGAGCCAGAGTCTGGGGGGGAGTCTGGCAGCGTGCTGTGAAGCAAGAGGAAAGGGTGGTTGGGTGGGCAGCCGAGCCCCTGCCTTCCAGCCGGGCGGCTCTTCTGCAGGGCAGGGTCCCGGAGACCCAGGGGCTGGAGGCTTCAAGGTTTCTTCACAGCCCCCGTTATGGGCATTTCTCTGTACCAGCTACCTTGGGGTGCCTGGCAGGGCCCAGTTGTGGGTGGAGGCCTTGGGCTCTGGCCCAGCATCCCCTCAGACCTACAGGGCACTTGGGAGCGTGTCACCTGTGTCCCTGATGATGGCACAGGGATTCAAGGACTCCCTCTGCAGCCCGAAGGGCCAGGCCAGCTCTTTCCTTCCTGCACCCACAGAAGTCCCACTTCCTGGAAACTCTAGGGGCCGGGCCTGGGAAACTTCAGTGGGTCACCGGGGGGGCTGCCCTGCCACAGGCAGGTGTAGGCTGGGCAGGGAGCCAGCGCGCCAGGCCTGCACTTATTTTTTTCCTGCAGGTTTTGTTTTTATCAGTGATTCGGGCAAAAGAACAAACTCAACTCTGAGAGGTCACCACGTCCCGCGTGAGCCCTGAGTCCGCCCAGAGGGGGCGGCTGCGGCCACTCTCTGAGGGATCTGACTCTGGCCATCCTGGTCCCCACATCTGGAAAGGCTGCCCACCGTCATGCCCAGGCAGCTTCTGAGGCGGCCCAGCTCTTGTGGACACAGCCCTGGGCTGCTTGCACGGTCCCCCAGCTCCCCTGGACAAGCCACCCCTCACCCAAACCCTGCAGGCCGTGTGAAGATGACAGGAAAAGGTGATGGGGACTCGGTCCTTGCTGCGCCCAGCAGGCTGACCGGGGCCTCTCCAGCTCCGGGTCCACCATCTGCCCCCATTCCCTGCGCTGCCCCGACAGCGGCCTTAAGTAAAGGTCTTTCTCACCCTCCGGCCCCTATCAAATGTGCCAAATCCACAGAACCTCGTGTTCTTCCTCGTAACTCCTCACGGTGCACGAGTCCTCGATTTGCTGATTTATTGATTAGTCACTCCCTCCCCCACTAGACTGCAGAAGCCACTATAGGAGGGATGTGCCTGCCTTGTTTACCACCTAGAACAGGGCCTGGCATGGGTGGGGGCAGTGGCCCTGGAGCAGCCCGGGGGCCACAGCGTGTCTGAGTGGTTCTGGACAAGCGCTTTCTCTCTCTAGGAAATGGCCCCAGTGTGCCATCCGAATCCTGCTGTGAGGCGGGTGGGGCTTTACTCGAAGGCTGGCTGGTTTTGGGGTCCCCCAGGAGCTGGTTACTGGGGACAGTCGAGGAGCTCTCGCAGAGGCATGGAGAACAGCAGCGGGCACTGAGCAGGTGCTTATTATGTGTCAGTTCCCTTCCCTCCCTGCCCTTCAGGGCCTGTGGCTTAGGGACAGCCTCTGCGCCTCAAGCAGCCAGCGGCCCTGCAGCAATGGCTCATCCCTGCCTGGCACCCCAACTCCCCTCCACGGCCCTCCCCCTGTAAGTCAAGACACAGCCACTGTCCCCCCAGTACTTCCTCTGGGTTTCCTCCCCTGACTTCCACAGTCACGCAGGGGCGGAAGCATTCGGGGCTCACTTCACAGCCGGGGTGCCGAGGTTCTGGGTTAGCACCCAGAACACCAGAAATGGTGGAGCTGGAGACGGAGCCAGGCTGCCTGGCCGGCATTGTGCTCCCAGCACCCTGTCATCCTTCCACCCAGAGATGGGGTCACCTGCCCCCTGCCTGAGCCTGGGGAACCCAGAACTTTCTCCGAGCCCCTCTGCAGAGCCTAGCAGACCCACGCTCCCCGCCTCTCCCCACGAACATGTGCCTGTGGACTGCCCTGCAGTCTGGCTGGGCTGGTGGCCACCTGGAACCCTGGGTCACAGCCGGGCCCAGGCTGAGCCCTTGGGTCAGGCGCTGACGTGGCCTCCTTGGAGAGGAGCCAGGGAGCACGTGGGGGGCCGGTTTGGGTAGGGTCCCAACACCTGCACCAACTTCAGGTCCCGCGCCTGTGCCATGGGCCAACTCCCTGAGGCCGTGGGAAACAGCAGCTATAAATGCACGAGCGACTGGGTAGGCCTGGTGCAGGGAGGGGTTTGGGTGCCCTGGGTGCCTGCATGCGTGTAGAGGTGCTCCCCTGAACGTAAACAGTCCTGCCCCCAGTCCCACTCCCTCCCCGCCACTCTCCACACAGCTCTCGGGGATGGAGATCTTTCTAGCACTTAGGTCAGCCCTCATCACTCCCCTGCTCAGAACCCTCCGTGGCTGTCCACTGCCTCAGCACAAAGCCGTGAGCACCTCCTCAGCCTGGCCCTGGTCCCCCAGCCACCTTACCTACCCACAGGGAAGCCCGATGCCCACTGCCCAGCCTTGGCCGGCACCTCCCAGGCCCCCAGTCACTGGTCCCACAGGCCGCCTGGGCCTGGGCCTCTGCATCTTACCCCACCCCCACTGCCCTCACTCACCCGGGGGCATAGGGAGCCTTGGGCTCTGCCTTGATGGGGGGCCCAGAGCCCCCCAGGAAGGGCTTGGGAGCAGCACCCATGCCGTTGTTGTTGTTGCAGTTGAGCGGGGCACTGTAGTTCGGGGGTGGGAGGGGGCCATGGCGACCCGGGGAGGGTCCGCCCCCGGGGGGGCTCAGGTGGTGGACCCCGCTGGAGCCGGGGATCGCTGGCTGCCCGTGGGGGTAGGAGGCCGCACTGGCTGGAGCAGAGATGTCAGGGAAGCAGCTGCGGAGAAGGGCGGAAGCTCAGCGCCAGCCCGGCACCCCCGCCCCTCCCGGGGCTCCCACCTGCAGGGCGGCTTGGAGTGGGCTCAGTGGTTGGGAAAGGAGCAGCTCTCAGAGGCGGGGCCACGTCACCGCTCCCAGGTGGAGGCCAATGGGGCTGGGGTGCCGCGGGGGCCACTCACAGGTCAGAGGCGTCCTCCTTGCTGATGTACTCCTCCAGGATGCTGGTGTCTATGTTGGAGGGCTCCAGGGCGCCGTTGATGTCGTGGCCTGTGGGGGAGGGGTGGACGTGAGAGAGGGGAGAGATCAGCCCAGCCCGCCAACTCTCCGCAGGCTGGGCCCTCCCCGTCTGTGCATCCACGTGGAAGGGGAGTCCCTCATCATCCCCCACCTGCCAGCCCTCCAGGAGGTATTGATGGTGCTGCCCTCAGTCCACAAGGCCAGCTGGACTCTGCAAGGAGGGGCGGGGCCCAGAGTGCAGGTCTGGACAGACCTGCCGCTTCCTGCCCCTCCATTCTCCTTTCCAGCTTCGTGACATGAGCAAGTCCCTTCGTCTTTTCTATAAAATGGGGTAACCGTGTCCCCGTCTTGCGGGGTGCTGTGAGGAGCAAACGAGGCGCTTTATTTAGCTGGGTGCCCAGCGGATACCAGCCCCCTCACTGACTCAGACCCAGACTCACTGACTCTGTCCTGCCCTGTCCTCCGGGAGGCGGTTCCAGATGGCCCAGCTGCGGGCAACAGGGACCAGAAGGCCTGGCGGGGCTGGACCACACATCCTGGGGGGCCCATGGGGCTGGGGGAGACTCCTGAACCCCGGGCCCCAGCTGCAGGTGGCGAGGGAGCAGGGGTCGGAGTCAGGAGTGCCCAGCCCACCCTCACTGCATGTGCCCATCACCCCCACATCGAGGGCTGAGCCCAGAGGAGGAAACAGCCCCAGAGAGGTTCGGTGGGGAACAATGGTGGCCTGAGCGCTGCTCCTCTGCCTGACCTCTCCTGGGCCCTCCCCGCTAGCCCCAGCCCCACCAACGGGAGGGATTCACAGAAAAGGCAGCCCAGTGCTCTTGGGCATCAACAGCAAAGGAGAGGGGGAGGCGCTGGCCTTTCCCCTCCCGGGGTCACCTTGCAGGGGGAGCTGGAGTGCTGGGTGATAAGGGGGCTGACGTGGGAGATGCGTCAACTCTGATAATGGAGGACGGCCCCACCCACACTGCTGACCTGGGCTGGCCGGCCCCCCTGAGGCAGGAGGCACCCCTCCCACAGGCCCCTAGGCCTTGAGTCTGGGGTCTGCGCCTCATGCCCCCTCCCCTGGTGAACCCTGGGAACAGAGCAAAGGTCCACTAATAAATCCTAGCTCACCTACTCCCTGCTGTGTGACCTTGGGCAGGTCACATACCCTCTCTGAGCCTCAGTCGCCTCAGTAAAATGGGGACATGAACAGCTAACACTTTACAGGGTTCTTCTGAGGATGAAACAAGTTAAGGTATATAAAGTGCCCGGAACACAGTGGGTGCTCAGCAAACAGAGTGGCTGTCCCCACTCCCCAGAGCGCTGGGGTCCCCAGGAACCCCCAGCCCAGGCCCCTCCCTGGCCCTGGCCGGCATTTCAAGAATGCTGAGCCCCGCTTAGGTGATTAATGAGTGGCTAAGCCCTCCTAGGAGTCACGCGCTGCCTGGGACAGGCCCTCCTGCTGGCCCCCACACGGGACTCACCCAGCCAGGAACAAGGGACACCCACCAAGCACCGCCAATGGCCGCCCAGGGTAAGGGGAGCTTCTCAAGCTGGGAATGACCAGGCTGCAGGCCGAGGTTCTAGGACACCCACCCCGTCCTTCCCTGTTAACGGAAGGTCCCATTTACTGAGCGCCTGCTGTGTGCCAGACACTTTCAGAGCCAAGTACGTTAATAATCACAGGAGTTTATTATATGTAAGGCATCCTGCAGGCTCTTCCTGTGCACTGTGACATAATTCTCCCAACCTATCATGGTGACGATGACAGTGGCTCACACTGACTGAGTGCCTGCCAGGCCCCAGCACCATCCTAAGTGCTTTACGGGTTCACCTCCCAATCGCCCCTGCAGACTTGGTGTTTGTTATTAGCATCATCCCCTTTGTTCAGAGAAGTCAAGCCTCTTGCCCAAGGCAACCCAGCAAGGAGAAGCCAAACTCAAGTGCAGGGGCCTGACTCCAAGAGGGAAAGTGTAGTTGGTGGTGGCTGAGGCTTCCCAGCCATGCTGAGCTGCCCCACTGGATGAGGGGGAGCGGGTGGTCCTGAGGGAGGACCAGGCACAGGAGATGGGGAGGGAGGGGGTACTGGAGCATCACTCCCACCTTGGCTGCTGAAGCTGCAGGGTTTTGAGACTGAACTTGGAATCCACAGTGAATGATGGGGTGATAGAGTCATGGTGCTGCTATTTATAACAGGCCAGGCCCCCTCCTCCCCCTCCCCTGGCCAGGAGCAACTCCTAATCACCCCTAATCCTCCTACCCCCCTCCCCCGGGGTGGGGGGTGCCTCCGACAGAGGCATCTTGGGAGACCCTAACGAGAACCAGATGTGGTTAGGGGGAGGAGAGACCCTCGGTGCCAGGGGCCGGGCGGACGGGAGGATGGAGGAGGGAGGCGGGGAGCCACTGGGGCCGGGGGGGGGGGGGGCCAAGGGGGGGGGGGGAGCCTGCGGTTGCAGAGGCCGGAGGGATGTTACCCCAGCCTGAGGCGCGCCGTGCGCTCTCCCGTGGAAGTTGTCCCTGGATCCCGTTACCCTGGCAGTGGCGGGCCGTGTAGGTGCCCCGGGAGGGGGGGAAGGGCGAGAACCAGATGTGGTTAGGGGGAGGAGAGACCCTCGGTGCCAGGGGCCGGGCGGACGGGAGGATGGAGGAGGGAGGGGGGGAGCCACTGGGGCAGGGTGGGGGTGGGCCAATGGGTGGGAGAGAAGTATGAGGTTTGGGGGGGTTGGTGGGCCTCCTGAGGATCACTGACCCCACACCTCCTCTTTCTCTGGGAGTCCTCGCCACCTGTCCCAAAGGGTCCAGCCACCCAGGAGATGCTCCCCGCCTATCCCATGAACCACACTGGAGATCTCTAACCCAACGTTCCAGCAGGACAGGGTGGAGTGGCTCCTTGACTCTCGAGGCTGGGGCAGAGCCTCCAGGAACCCAGGAGAAAGGCATGGCCCCCTCCCCCACTGCTCCCCAAAGAACCCTGGAACATCCTGGAACACCGCTGAGCAGCAGGTACCGTCAGGAAGGAAGCTGAGAGTCTCATGGTGATCCTCAAGACCTCCCTGGGAGCTGGGGAGGCTGCCCAAGGTCCCGCAGCCTGAAGGTGGCACCCACCAGGTCACAAACCAGCATCCCCGCCCTCCCTCTCCCCAGACTCCTCAACTTCCCATTGCTCGGGGCAACCAGAGCCCTCGTCCGTCCAAGGCCTGGCGCGGTCGACCCCCTGCCTGCCCGCGTGGCCGCTCCTGCCCCAGTGCCCCTCCCTGCAACTCTCCACAGTCCAGCCCCTGCCTCTTTCCATCCTGGGACAGACACCCCTTGCACATCAGGGCCTTTGCACATGCTGTTCCCTCATGCTGTTCCCATTCCTCGTGACTCTTTAGGTTTTGGCTTAAATGTAAGTTCCTCCGAGAGACCATGTCTGACTCCCCCATTCTCCTGAGCGGCCTCCCTTCTACTTTCTCATCAGGATCTTTGCTCTCCTGCCCAGCACACACCTCGGGGGAAGAAACAGCCCTCTGCCCACCCACTGCCCGTAGCACACACTCACCGAGCGGTCACTCTGCCCAGCCATGCCACACACTTTATACGGCTCTTATTTAATTCCCATAACAACCCTCCGGGGTAGGTGGTTTTCTTGTTCCCTCTTTCACAGATGAGAAAACTGTGGCTCAGAAAGGATAAACGCCTTTCCCATAGCTCAGAGGCGTGGCAGCTGGGCGGTGAGTCCTGCCCCGTTTTGTCTCTCAGCGGTGTAAGCATCTAAGCATACCGCAGGCACACGATGAATGTTCATGGGATGAATGAGCAAAGTGGCAAGCAGGGCACTGGGACCAGGCCTGCCTGAGTCTGGGCACCTCTGCCCGGCCATGCTGTGGTCAGGGTTCAGGGCTAGACAGGGCCCCTCCAGGCACCACCCCTGCCCTGCTGAGCTATGCACCCCAGCTGCTCCTCATTAATTAGGCCCTTTATTACCTGCTTTTAACAGGAGCCAGACACTGCTCCTTCCCAGGCAGGCAGGATCGGGGCTGTGGGAAGGAAGCCCCTCCCCTCCTCTCTCCTCCCTTTAAGGCCACCCAGCTAGGCAGAAGAGGAACCGAGGGGACACAAGCCAGGTGCGGGATGAGGGCGGATGGGGGCCCAGGTGGTCCTCCACCCTGGACCCTTCCCTTCCTGCCCCCTCGTGCTCATCCCCCCCCCCCC